GCACTCTGCCTCAGTATCTCCAATATTATCCATCCATCCATCCATCCATCCATTCTCAAATTTATATGCCGCTCAATAGCCGGACAGGACTCTCTAAGCAGCTAACAAAATACAACAAAAGGTTCAGGGGGAAGAGGGGCGGAAGTCTGTTGGAGCAAAGCAAGCACTTATAATCAGTCTTTAAATTCAAGTTTTGTAAAATCTGTGAAAGAAGTTAGTTTATTATTTTAATTGTATATTAATTTATATATTTAGATTTACATTTCTAAATTTATATAAATTCAAATACTTTATGTATATAAATATTATATATTCATAACATATTAATTTATATTATATATAATTTAATGATGTGAGCCGCCCCGAGGCTTCGGCGAATGGGGCGGCATAAAAATGTTTTAATAAATAAATAAATAAAAATAAATATATTGTGATATAAACTAGATCTATTAATTTACTTACTAATATTTATTAGATTATTAGATTTATATCCCACCTTGTTTGTTTTTAAAGAATCAAAGTTGCTGACATCATTTACTTCCTTTTGCTCTCAGTCTTATCCCTGCAACAACAACCCTGTGAGGTAACCCTGTGGACTGAGAGTCTATTAGTGGCCCAAACTGGAGATCTACTGGAGCTATACGTATGGATGAATTACAGAAGATCAGCAAGGGTCTCTGACTTCCAATTGTTTAAAAACTCTGAAAACAAAAGGCTTTCCCTCTTCTAAAATAACTGGCAGAGGGATGTGCAGGAAGAGATGTGCGGGCAAATGGATTTATGTATTAGTATCGTTCTGTTAGTGAAGGCAAATTCCTGGGCTGAGCATAAACACAGATGTGCCTTGTTCTGGAAATCCATGTTCCACATATACTGTTTTACAGTGAACTCTGAGTGGTAGACTAGAACTTGGAATTCATGTGAAAAAGAAAGTGGATCCCACAAACCTAATATCGAACTGTATATTTTTATTAAAATGTGCTATTTTGGGCCAGCTCTGCTGGACAGGTAACGGCCTGCTTTCTCGCAGAATAGCCCCAGGGTCTGGTAGGAAGCAGTCCCACTAGCACCACATTTGAGCCACGGTCCCCCAGTTGTGTGTGTTCCGGAGGGGCTTATTCCCTGAATGCAGAGGCATAGCCTGAAGACTTGCTTGTAGACATGTATCTTGAGCAGCCATTGGGAATGCAGGGCATCTTATACCAAATCTCAGCTTCCTAGGTAGTTCTACGGAGATAGAACTATCTCTTAAAATAGGGAGCTGAACATTTAAAACTGCACTTGGAGTGCCTTTGCCAAGTGTACACCACATTTCAAGGCTATGGCAGCCGAATAAAGTTTTTACGCTGTAAGTTCTGCGCACTTGGGTTGTAGCCACACCCCTTCATTTTAGGCCCTGCCCACATCTGGAATGTGGCCCCTGAGCCTCTTCAAAGAAAAGTCCATCAAACTTTTCCACTAGCTTGCAATTGTTGTTCATAAAATGTACAAATTAAGGGGCTTCTTTTCCACAGCAGATTGTCAATACGTTGGAAAGGTATCTGCAGTGGCTGAACTCTCAGTGATGTTTTGTTTGGCCATATCATTCATTTCTTTCATTACTTTGTGTGTGCCCTAACCATTATGATACATTCTTTGAATGAGGCAGTGAGGTCTAAAGACCTTGATATGTGCAATATCAAAACTGGAGAGTGAGGCTTGGCCATGCATCCTTATGGACTGGAAGAAGCAGCTGCCTTTGTGAATCGGTTCCATTCACAACTTTGGAAAAGTGCTGGGTTTGTGACCCTTCAGATCTCCCAAGTAAAGCAGTCAATCTCTGGTCTTTTAGGACATCCACCCCCCTAGCAGTGTTAGCTGGAGGATGCTGGGAGTTGTAGCACTTTCTTTCTGTGTGAAAATGCACAGGATCGTGACCTTATGGAATCATCAGGGCAGAGGGCCAGCCTCTGGGATGAATGCACTTTGGCTGGATTCGCCTCTGAAAACCATCATGTTAAAGCTTTCCTGCCTCTGCTGTCCTTGAAAAGCCTCAGGCCTTGGCATCCCTTATCTCCAGGGGTCCCCACTCAACCACAAGTGACTAGCTTACAGGGTTGCTGGCACTGTTCCTCTCTAGCATCTGATAGGAGGTGCACAAGATGATTTAAAATGCAACCTTATTTCCTACGTGGATGGCAGACAGCAATGAATATGCTAGAAAGGATCAAAGGGAACCATCACTTCCTGGTAATAAAATAATAAGGGTCGGACACAGGAGATTCTGTTTTCCCACCATGGATGCCTGAGCAGAGGGGGAGTGGGGAGAGAGTGTGCTGCACATTCCTTATGCAATCATGCAAACATCTGGAAAAATCCTTAGTGACTCTCTTCACACACTCCAGGCACTCTTCTTTTGGATTCCTGCCCAATGCAGAGACATCTCACATTACTTCTTTCTCTTCTTCTACTAATCAAAATAGTAACTGCATTCGTGTCTTTCCCGTACTATATAGTATACCTTTGAAATTAAATGAACGTGGAGCAATAAATAATGGGGTTTATCCACTGTTTCTGTGGAACTAGGATTTTGCTTTGGGTTAGCAAATGGGACTGCAGTGCTTCCTGCTATCTGACTATTGGAAATCCAGACTTCTATATTGGTAGGTATAAAATAATATGGGGGTCCCATATGTTTACTCATTGCATAGCAGAAGGAATTGTGCCAAGGGCAGCATCTCTTGCTCCTGCAGTGCTGTGGTGTTGAGGATCTTCTGTGAAAGCATCAGTGCTGGGGGTGGTACTAGGCACCAAAAAGAATTAGTGCTTAGGTCTTCAGGTCAAAACTATACACAACTCTGCATGTGCTAATTTACATGAGCTTTAAAATCAATCAACTCCTCCCGCCCCTTGTGTGTGTGTGTTTGAAGAAGGCTGTCTCCTAAGGATGCCCCTATTTGTAAAAAGAGATGTATACGTGGGGAGAGGAGGGCATCTGATTTCAGAGAAAAAGACAAAAACTTCAGGTAGAAAGATTCAGAGGGGTGGCAACAGGAGGTGAAACACATGTGGACTAAAGGCAGCTAATCCAGTGGGATCAGATGCAACAGACAGATTCAGACCCCGTACTTTTATTTCAGCAAGTGCCTAAGGACAACAGGTGGTGCAGCAGGTATTGTGCCAGAGATTCAGGGCAATAAATGAAAGATTTGGGGCTCCAGTCCTAGCAGACTGTCTCTTGACACCACCCATGATCTGGCAGTCCGGATCACTACTGCCTCTCAAAAGCGACAAATCAGCCCTACCGTGATCACTTTCTGCCAGAACCAGGAGCAAACCACAACTCATCAGTGTGCATCCACCAGTCCTCTATTCCAGTCTTCCCCATCCTGGCAACCCCCAGATGTACAGGTCTGCAACTCCCACTGGGGGGAATCATGGGAGTTGTGGTCCAATGCTTGAGGTAGGAGCAGGGTCAGACATGTTGCTCTTCTTGTTCCCGTCTTGCTTCAGCTTTATATATGAGCCTTTGGCGGAAGGGCGGGGGGAGGGTGGGCTGCAAACTTAAGAGTTCAGCCACAGAGTCCTGCCCTCAGCTGAGAGTCACATGAAAGAGCTTGGGCAGAGGCTGCCAAGCCCCATGTGATGGGAGCCCCTCAGCCCTGTGCTGGGCTGAGCCATCACATGCTGCCGCAGCAGCCGCAGCAGCAGCGCAAAAAGGACCTGGGCCACCCAGGGGAGGAGAGTGGAAGGAGAGCTGCAATGGGCATCCATGCCGTGGGAGTCACCTGGGACTGGGAAGCGTGGGGAAGAATGTGACTGGGAAACACATTCCTGGGAGAGAAGTGGGCCCTTCTGTATCGAGCTGCTAGAGTTAGACAAGGAACGTATACAACCCAAGATCATCAGATCCTGATTTGCTCGGGGGTGATCCTTTTTTCATGCATATCACTCCACCTCTCTTCCATTTTGAAAACTTCTCCAGACTGAATGAGGGGAAATGATCATGGAGAAGAACCCTACCCCTCAAACCATCCTAATACAGCCATCCTGGGGACAACAGCCCGAGTCCGTCAGCCTTCCCATATAGCTTGCACGGTCTACTCCACACTCATCGCCAGGGCAGGCCCAAAGTGTTTTGCTGCCAAAGGAAGGGCAGAGATTCCCCCTTGCCCAAGTCCAGCTGCAGCACACCCATGGCCAGGCGAGTTATACTGATATGTGGCAGAAAAGCCCACAATTCTCTCTTTCCATCCCTGGCAGTAGAATTAAAACAACAGCAAAAGGAACCAGCTAAGAATTTGCTCCCCATCCATGACATCCCAAAATGTGCCGCCTGGGGCAGCTGGTTCATTTTACCTAATGACAGAGTAGGCTCCTCAAAGGTGAGCTGCCTCTCCGGGTTGCAGGCAAGAGTTCTTCCCCGCCTGCCTGGACTGAGAGTGGGAACTGCATGTAAGGCATGTATCCCCCCCTCACCCCAATTTCTCTTTCTTGGGACATTCATTAGGTTACAGCAATTAATGGTGAAGTTGTCGGTTCTGGGCACTTGGGTCAAGGGAGGAAGCATGTCTGGGCATTTCCCAAGGCAAAGAGGTGGAACTGAACTTGACCATGACATCCATGGACATAAACTATCATTTGCACAGAAGAATCTCATGACATCCTTAACTTTGGTTCAAATTCCAGATGGCCAAAGTCTCCATAAGCATGCAAAGAGCAGTGGGAGAGATGCAGCTTTCAACATGGGAGCTCAGCAGGTAGAAAACTGTCACTGAGGTGTCAGCATAAATAAAACAAGGCAAGTGCTTCAAAGGGGTGTTGTCAACAGTGCTCGGGGACATGTGTGTCATCTGATCTTCTTGGAATGCAATTCCCATCAGCCACAACCAACATAGCCAATGATGAGGGATGGTGGGTGCTGCACTTCAGGAACATCTGAAGGGCTACATGTTCCCCACTGTTGCTTTACACAGAGCTTTTGATCAACTCTACACCCTTCAGAAAGGGAATTCAGAACAATCCCTTTGACTTAGTCCTCACCATCCACTGCATATAAAGCAGTGAGGGGCCCTTCCTTAATGTCAGAGACTGGGCACAGTTGCCCAAATCTATTTTGGTTCTGACCATTATGCTGCTAAAACAGCATCCTCAGCATTCATACTGACTACCCAAATGGCTGCTTCACCCCACCTAAACCTACAGCTGTCATTTCAAAAGGGGGAGACTTAACTCATCAAGATTCTGTCCGCACCCTCTGGTGCTCTAGACTGCTATACCAGAAAGCAGGAAAGCACAACAGGTTCAAAGAACCGGAATAGGATTACATTAACAATGATGCTGATTCACCATCTGGATCCTGTCATTCAAGGATCTTGCATGCTTTTGCACAACGATTGTGTACAACTGACCTATACTATGGCGATGCAAATGACATAGATTATTACACATACTTGCACAGCTGATGTGTAACCAACCTGTGATGCTGATTTTGCACCAGTGCTAAGCACAGGGAAAGGGGCAGGGGGAAAACATGTTTGGGCAATAAAAGAGTGTTAAATCTTGATGAAGAGTGCACAACCACATCCAATGGCTGGGAGTTAACATCTGGTCAGATTTCACTTACAAAGTGTCCCCCTCTTAATGCAATTAGATGACTGAATAATTGGATCAGAATGCAGAGATTCTCTGTCATTAGTGTTCTGAGTATCAGGAACACACACACATTCCACCTCTCAGACAGCAAGCACCCCCACAAGGAGATTAAGTGGGGGCGGTGTGGGGGGGTCTTGTCTGCCCAGGCACGAATCCAGATCCCCACGAGATTTGGCTTTACAAGAGCAGGAAAAATTGTCTGTGGATTTTGTTTACTCTGCAGAAATCCAGCAAGTCACTTAACCCAAAGAGTGAGAGCCATTTCTCACAGAGAGAGGCATAACTGGTTTTTTCACACTTTGTAACTATAGGAAGCAACACAGCCCCCAGAGAAAAATTCTATTCTTGTACACCATCTGATTATTCTAGAACTGAGCCAAAATTTATAACTACAGCCAAGTACAATCGGCTTTTCTTTCATGTCTACATTCTTTTCCACCATGGTTACCTTCAGAATTAAGCCTGTTTTCTAGGTTAGAACTGCCTTGCCAGTTCAGATCACCTCCCTCTGATCCTGCTATTTACACTTAAACCCTCCCTCAACCCCCTATTCCAAATCTTTTACACAACCGCTAATTGTATGAATGGGGGTTCATCCAGTTTGGTGCACAAGTCTAAGAAATTATGCAAAATTAAATGTATTGCCATTACAGAATGAAATATTTAAGTTCAGATGGTGAGAAGCTGAGCTGAGAAATGAAACAGCAGACTAGTTAATGTTTGTGGACCCTGAGCCTGTTCTCTATTCAGTAATGATAATATATTGGAAACCCCCGTCTCTGATTAAATGGAAATCCGCTTTTAACTAAGTAAAGCCATTTTTTGTGGGGGTTCCAGATTTGGAAGTCCCAATTATAAAAATGCAAAAGACTTTTGGACCCTCTTGTTATATTGCTTGTGAGCACCCTTCAGGCAAGCAAAATAATGAAGTGGGAGAGAAAATACACAGTTACCAAGGGAACTTTCAGATGTGTCACTGTCAAGAAAGTCTGATTGCTTTTCACACTGTTTTCACATTTGAATGCTATTTATTTGGGAGAGAATATGGAAGAAAAATAAGACATATGATGCCAGTATAGGTTTTTAGAGTGTATGTTAGTAGCCAATTTAAAACCAAATTTGTTTAAACTTCAAAATGTGGAAATGCTCTTAGCTGGGAGAATTTTTCTGCCAAAATGAAAAAGATTCAGCTTCAGTACAAGGCAAACTGTGCATGTATAAAATGAAATCACATATGCAAATAAGTAATGGTTGGGATGTCTATTTACTCAGCAAAGTAAGATGTGATTATATATGTAATACAGTAAAAATGAATTGAATATTCATGTGTATAACACTCATATGCAGTGCCACAAGCTTTGCACTCTTTGGTTCTTGCGTTATACAAACTCTTTTTCATACAAACTACTGCTGCAATCCACCTAAAGTCTACCCTGATATAGTTTTATAGTAGTGGTATAATCACAATCTTTTTAATGCATGTTGTTATAGAAGTCAACCACCATTTGGAAGACAGGTTCAATATGAATCAATTGAATTCATCAATTGAATTCATCAATGAATCAATAAACAACTTAGAAAAAGATGACTGTCTCGCTTCTCATCCCTGCAAGGAACCCGGACTGGAAATATAACTTCTGGTATTCTGTAGTACAGTGAGGAAGTGGCTGCTATTCTTTTGAGTTGTGGACATTTTTAAAGAAGTCCGAAGCTATTAGAGAATATTAGGATGATCACACAGATGGATACTCTTTCTAAAGAGAGGACCCCAATGTTGCTGGAGCCCCCTTCTACAGAAAGGTTAGAGTAGTGCTTTCAGCTGTTCCTGTGAAATAAATCTGAGATTTATGGGCATTTGGGACCCAGGGTGAAGCCGGGGCTGGCCCTGTAGGTGGAAGAGACTTAAATCAATGAAAAATGGGTATCAATTAGGGTGTACTTACTGCGTTGAGCTGTAGCTACAGCTAGAACGGCCCAAAGGGCAGCCCACAAGTACCAGATCCGTGGCATCTTAGCTCTGTGATCCCTGGAGCCTCCTGAGCTTCTGATGGCAAAGGAGTGCAGTGAGGAGCCGCTGCCTATAAGAAAGGGAGCTCATTTGCCTACGCCTGCCCCTCCCATGGGCAAGAAGGCCTCACTTTTTCCCTCCCCCCTCCTCTTTCCAATAATGGGGAGCCATGGGATTGTGTGATCTAGTCACAAGCTTGCATTGTGGTGTACATAATGGGGCCCCAGGATGGAATTCCTCCTGTAGAAATGTCAGCGAAGGGGATGGGCAAAAAGCAAACACTAGGACTCTTCACGAGGGAGAAGGAAGTTTGGAGGATAATTAGAGAGATGACAAGAGAGAGTGAAACGGTTCATTATGCAACTTCATTAAAGGGTATATTGGGGTGAGATTACAGGGCACCTCAGCTACCCAGCAAAGCAAACCCATTCAGCACTCAGCTGTCACTCACCTCAGCCGCAAGGGTGTTATTTGCTAGGCAATGGCCTCAAGGAAACAAAATGGTACTCAATGGCTGGCTGGGAGTGGACATATCAAAGGCACGTCTTCCAGTTCAATATTCAGCATACGTGGAAAAAGGTGAGGGTTTCTTCCATTGCCAGGTTGGTGAGAAGGTGATTATATGCAGCGGTGGTCGAGGCTTCGACTTGGAACTCTACTGCAATCTACTCTACTCTATTGCTCCGATGGTAAAACTCATCAGCAACCTTACACAAGTCAATAAGCTGTTTCGTATGACAAGTCAGCCCACCATGGCTCAACTTACTTGTTTGTTTGTTTTTTATAAGTTTTATTCAAAATAACTCTAATACAAAGGAAAACTAAAAACAACATCAACCATCAGAAACATCGGACCTGCTGGGTCAGCCCCCACATTTTTTCTATTTATGATAACGTGAAAACATATTTGAATCTATACGAAGTCCTGTTTCTCTAGCCAATAATAAAAAGAGTCCCACATTTGATAGAGATCAGTATCTTCTTTCTCCTTCAATGACAAAGTCAATCTGTCCAGGCTCAACTTACTTGTGAGAGTTGTCATGTTGTGTTGGGTGCCTGTGGGTGCCATTTTTACATAGTGCCTGAAGGTGTTCAGCTTGCACTGACTTATTGTGTCATGTGAACCTGGGTGGGAAGGGTTGTGCAAGGTTAGATAACTCTCAAATATCCCAGTGGTGCCTGGCTGGCATGGCACAACAGCATCCTTAAACCATGATGGGCTGGTATGTTATGCAAACAAGGCTTTTTCCTCTCTGTCTAATCTGCTTCACAGGGTTCTTGTAATAGCAAATGTGATCAACCCATTTATACTACTTTAAGCTTTCTTGGCAGAAAGGCATGAATGCAAAGGTAAGATGATCTAGCTTCAACAATGGGCCATCTGCGGGCACAATCCTCTGGTCTCCCAGTGTTGACCTGGGGCATAGAACTATTTAAAGCCCCAGCTCCAGAGTCCTGTGAGTCTCTGTAGGCCAAGCCCACTGCAGCCAATCCAGAAGGAACTGCACTGGTTGCCTCTGAGGTCACAACTGGGCTTCAGAGAGGAAGAAACAAGGCCAGTGGAGGGCGGGGGAGAGGGAGCAGCTGCTGCCTATGGCATCTCTTATTGACAGTCTCTGCTACCGTAGCATCTTGCTCTGTGAATTGGATATATATAAGCCTCTGAGTTTGGAGGCTTATGTACACCTGCAGTGGAGGGCACTGGCTTGCACCCTGAATGTTTCTCTTCCCTTCCCATTGCTTTCCCCTTTTGCATCAAGCTTGTTGGATTGTGAACCTGTGTGCAGTAATGAAACTCCGTACAGTGCTTAGAAATTTTAGCTGCTTTGCCTATTATACATAACAAACATGCTCATGTTGTATTGGTTGCATATTTGGACTTAGATTCTGAGGTGAGATCTGTGCCTTCTGATGTAAAGATAGCCAGGTTAACTCATGAATTAAAGGGGCTGCAATCCTCAGCGAAGTCTCACGGGGAGCCCAGTAGTTAACCAAGATCCTAATTAACAACAACAACAACACTTCTAGCCCTTGTATTCTGGAAAGGCAGCAGTCATACATGACTAAGTCACAAAGCATCCACAGACATGGTGCTCCACTATCCATTCTCTCGAAATGTCCTGGAATACCAACTTCCAGGCCATCCAAAGCAACCAAATTATGTAAGTTAAATTAGACCAGATGGGAGTGGTGAAGTAAGCTACTAAATGCTCACTGCATCCACATTCCAACACGCGTACTGAGAAATGTGGCATTCTTGAAAAATGGTCTGGATAGGAGTATCAGTTGAAGATTTGAGGCTTTCTGTAGCATTCCCTTCTCTCAAAGTGTAATGAATTTGGTTGTAATAAATACCTTGAAACTCATCATTCTGCTGTTTTACCAGAAAACCATTTATGGAATGAAGACCAGAATGTGGAATATATGGAAATGTTGTGGCTTACTGCAGCAATCCCTTCCTGTCCAATTACACTCGTGAATGAGGTTGGTTTGACTGCCTTAGAGGCTTGATATTCCAGACTGTTTTCTCAGAATACACTTTATTGTCCAGGGTGGATAGTAGTTTCTGTGGATATTTTGTGGCGTACTGCATCAATTCCATTTATCGTGGCTGATGGGTGAATTTGGTTGCTTCGCTCAGAGGCAGACATTTGGTGCTATATTGTTTATTGTCCAGACAGGAATTTAGATTTTTTTGAAATTTTGTGGTTTACTGGATTTCCCCATTACTTTCCTGTACCCCACCCGGAATCTGATTCCATAAAAGGTAGCATTAAAATATTTTAAATAAATGAAACTCGTCTGTGTGATGGGTGAATTGCATGGTTTGGCTAACTTGGAAGCTGACATTTTATTTTATTTTTAATGGTTTCATTAAAAATAAAATAAAATATGTTTCCAAGGATGATGAAAACCCTGCGAGCTGTTTATCTGGGTTGCTATTAATGGCCAGAACTGGTACAGGGGCCTGGATTGGATGGAATGTCTATGGCTAACTGCATCACTTCTGTCTGTGCCAGTGTGACTTCTGAATTTGGTTGGTTGATGGATTGTCCAAATGCAGGTGCTGCAGCTGCTTTTCTGGTATACTGCTTATTGCCCAGCATAGGTAATCAAAGGTGGTTTCTGTGGGGGTTCTGTGGCTCACTACAACAATTCAATCAAGTCATGTCTGTAGTTGTTACATGTTGTCAGGTCATCTCCAACTTATAGTGACCTGAAGCCCTCCAGAATGAGCCATCCATGATAGCCCTGCTCAGATCTTCCAAATTTAGGGCTGCGGCTTCCTTTAGGCAGTCAATCCATCTCATATTTGGTCTTCCTTTTCTTCTTCCACCTTCTTTGAATTTGGTTGATTTGACTACCTCAGAAGTTGGCATTTCATGAGGCTGGTGTCTGTGAACTGTGTTGTTGTAGAGCCGGGATTCACAGGCTCAAAACATCAGACTTTTTGATTAGCAGAAGTAATTGCCATAAGTCCTCTCCTGTCTGGCTTCCCTACTCCCTCTTGAGCTTTGCTGCGATCCAGTGTGGCGTGGTGATTAGTGTTGGACTGAGGACTCAGGAGTAGGTTCTAGTCCCCACTTGGCTATGAAGGCCACTGGGTGACTTTGAGCCAGTCACTCACTCCACCTTCCTCACAGTGTTGTTGCTTTTGTAAGGATAAAATGGAGTGGAGGAGGACTATGTAAGCTGTCTTGAGTTTTTCACAAGAGGAAAAAAGGCAGGCTAGGAAGGCAATGTGATGATAATAGCTGGCTTGGGGATAGATTTTCTGAGAGACAATATATTATCGTGTTTTATCTCATTGTCTTGAGTAGGCAGTGAAAATCCATTCATTCTACGTCAGTCTTGTTTCTGGTGGAGATAAAAGCCACTAGAGCTATTATGGACGCTTCCTGGGGACATAGCTATAGGGACCATCATGATGAGAATTTGCACTTATATTTTTACCACTGCATGATTATAGAGACATATAATTTGCCAATTTCATCTGATGAAGTTGTGAGAGTGTCTGCCATAATAAATTCCTTACAGCATAATTCTACAGATTTACTCTGCAAACCCCACTACAGGGAACAGGCCTCCCAGATAACTGCCAAAGCCTGCATACTCTATTTTGAAGCTGACAGAAGAGTCATATTTTGGAATCTGGAATCTGCCTCACCTTGTATAGAGTTAACTGAAAGGAGCAAATTGGAACATGCTACTTTCTTAGAGAAGGTACTTCAAATGATTGTAGCAAATCAACTGCAAGCACTCTAGGAAGACACTAATTATCTAAACCCATTTTAGTCTAGTTTTCTGCCTGGTTATGGGATTAAATCAGCCTTGGTTGGATAGTTGGCCTTTCCTGAGAGAGGGATGGAGAAGTACAATCTTGTTAATTCTACTGGGTCTCTGGTCAGCAATCACCCCTGGTATCCTCCTGGATGGGATGGACCTGGGAGGTGCTACTGGTTTCAAACTTACTTGAAGGGTTGATCTCAGACAGTGACATTGGGCAACTATTTATCTGCCCCTTGGCAATTGACTTATGCCTACCATCTTGTACCCCAATGTTGTTTAGCATCTGCATGAGGGTGCTGAGTGGTCATTAGGGGATTAGGAGCGAAGTGTCATTGGTGTGCTGATGACACAGCTCTGTTTCCTTCAGATATCTGAGATAGGGCAAGTGCTGGGTCAGCGCATAAACTCATTGATGGGCTAGATGGAGGCCAGTAAGCTGAGATGGAATCCAGGCAAGAAGGAAGCCCTGTGGGTGAGTGTTCCCCACATTTGGGAGATGGGCTTGTCAATAAATGTTACTTTTGTGTGTTTACTCAGAAATAAATTCCTTTATGTTCAGTGGTATCTTAAATTGTGCTAACATGCATTCTGTGGATCTCTACCCGCTGCTGCCCCCTGGCCTGTTAGCAGTTTTTCTGAAATCCAAGGATGCTACTGAGGCAGACCAATGCCAAAATTGCTGAAGTACAATTCCTAAAGAGATCCCACAACTAGTTCCTGTGCTTTAAAAGTCTAAGACTGTTGTTCCTGTGAATGGTAACTGTTCAGGTAATTATCGCTGCTTGTACTTTCTCGCATTTCACTTCCTTCTAACAAAACAGCTCACATGCCAATTTAGAGCTAACACTATATGCACTGGATGAACCTCATAGTGTCCACAAAAGTGTATCCCAGGTTAAATGTTAGTCTTTAAGGTACCACGAGAATCTTTGTGTTTTTGCTACAGCAGACTAACAGCATTGTCCTCCTGGAAACACCATGTACATTATTCTCAGACAACTCGCACCAGAGATTAGTGGATTCGTGTTCTAGGAAGCTCCTTGCCCTTTAAGAACGACTTCCGCGTTTGCTCTTGCTTCCTGCCACACACGAACATGCTTAAAATAACAGGAGTCTTAGCCAATAGGATGGAGCGATGGGCGGGGCAAAAGGAACGCGGGAAGCGGTTGGGAAGGAGGCGGAGTATTGGAAGCGATAGCTTTGTTGCAAGTTGTGCAGCCTCGCGCGCGGGAAAAGAGTGAGAGCGCGCGCAGAAGAAAGAACAACAAACCGGCTGCCCGAAAAAGACGCGCAACGTTCCATCCGCGAGCGCGCGGACACGTGGAGTGTCGAGCCTTCTCTAACAGCAGCTTCCACCGGCCGGCCTTGCAACTGATCAGCGCCAGCCTTGAGGCTCGCGGACTCTTCCTCCTCTTGACCTCCGGGGAAGCGGAGGGGCCTTAGTGGCAAACTGGGATCCACCCCAGCCGACGTCTCCTTCCATGGAGAATTTCCAGAAGGTGGAGAAGATCGGGGAGGGTACCTACGGCGTTGTCTATAAAGCAAAGAACAAAGTCACTGGGGAGGTGGTCGCGCTTAAAAAAATCCGCCTGGACACGTGAGTTCAACCATCTCACCTCCATTCCTCAATTGCTCCGTGGCTGGACGTGGTTGAAACGCCGAAAGCATAATCGGATCCTTTCTTTGCACTAGAAGGAGGAAGGGCCGGGGAGTGTCTCCTCTGAACGGGTAGTGGCGTGTGTGGGGACTGGGAAAGGCTTGTGGGGCTTGCTTTTAGCGGAGCCTACCCGGTCGGCCTTCTGCCCCAAGACCGAAAAGCAGGTTTTGTGGGCGAAGAACAGAACTTCCCTTTGTGCGCCTTGGTATGTGGGACCAACCTCCAAGAGTAAATGGGTGGGGAAAGTTCTTCGGTCGGATCAACGGGCTCATCCCATTTGAGGGTGGGGTGTCAGTAGCAAGAATCACACTGGATACAGCCCTTGCTTTCCCCCCTCCTTTGGCCTGTGAATCACTTTGGATGAGTGACGACGGGTTGTAGCGTGGCTGCCTTTCCGTATTTTTTTAAGAGTTGGTCGTTTTGGGGGTAGAAATGGCTGCTTGCCCCAGAGCAGGATGCAGAAGCTTTTAGAGCGCATAGATGACAGAAGTGGAACCCACTGGGTCCCTTGGCCGGGTTGTTTCCCATCCTTCTTGCAGGATGGCTGCTATTTGTCCTGCATTTGGGGTGAGTAGTGCAGGACAGCACCGCATGGCCAGGAGTTCTCTGGTGTCAGATCTGAGTCTGAAAGCATTGCAGGGGCCTGAATGGTCCACCCCATTCAGCTAACGGGGTGGCTGTTTGCCTGCCTGCTGGTTGGACCAGAGAGCTTCTTTGAACTGCAAATTGTGTCACCATAGCCGAGGGGTGCAGACGGGTGGCCCTCCAGTTGTTTTTGCCTCTGTTGTCATCAGCCCTAGCCAGTGGGAGGGTTCATGGGAGTTGTACAGCAGAATGTATGGAGGGCTACCAGTTGCCTACACCTGCTACAGTCATTTAGCTTCTCATGTATGTTAGGTAGGGTGTTACACCTGAATCCTCCTCTTCCAGATATTACGTTCAGCAAAGCTGCCTGAGATAGAGGATGCTGCATGAGTGACACTTAAAATGACTTCTCCCTTTCCCATTTTACCTCTTTTGTACTCCTTGCAATACCAAATTACTCAGTTGTCATTAATAACCTTTAAGCCTGGATTAAGGCTCTCTTTTCCCCCGATTTATTTCATTTGAGAATGAAAAGCATTGTGGACACTGACTTTATTACAGGTTTATCGCACTTTCTCCACCAGAAGCACAAGGTAGCTATATTGTGTTCCCTCATTTTATCCATGTAACAACCATGTAAACCTACTTAGGCTAGTCTGGACTGGGTCACCTAGTAAGCCTTAGAAAAGGCTGAGAATGCAAACCCTGGTTCTTTCCAGTGTGCGGCCAGTACTGCACCCCACTGTTGATTTTATACCCAAGGGATCAGACAGACAAAACAAGGCCTAACTGTAAATTTCCAAAAAGGTTTCCTGGAATCTAGTGTAAACTGAGAAACAGATTAAAGGTACAATCGTGTGTGTTTAGAGAAAGTTCTACAATTCATTATGGGATTATTATTATTATTATTATTATTATTATTATTATTATTATTTAGTCTAAACACTGATAGCAGCCTTAGTGAGTTTATGCCAAAATGGGGGTTGTTAGGAAATTCAGTTTGTCTCTGTGAAATCCTTTGAAACAGTTTGATGCTGAGTGTTCATCCCAGAGGCAAGGGGACACAAAATGTATAAGAAAATGGCAGCTGCCTTTATTGGCCCAAATGTTGTTGTTTCGGAAAATGAAAGCTCTTCTGTTACACAGGTAGCCTGCACAATAAGAAGAGTGCAACTTCTAAGAGTGTCCTCTATTATTACATGCATCTAATGGAAAGTGGGACTGTGGGTGGCTCAGTGGTTTAAACTGCTGAGCTGCTGGGCTGGTTGATCGAAAGGTCGACAGTTTGAATCCGCACACGGGGTGAACTCCTGTGCTTTGTCCCAGCTCCTGCCAACATTGCAGTTTGAAAGCATATAAATGCAAGTAGATAAATAGGTATCACTTTGGTGGGAAGGTAACAGCATTCCATGCATCTCGGTGTTTAGTCATGCCAACCACATGACCATGGAGACTGTCTGCAGATAAGTGCTGGCTCCCTTGGTTAGGGAACGGAGATGAGCACCACCCCCAAGAGTCAGACATGACTGGACTTTAATGTCCTGGGAGAACCTTTACCTTTTTACCTTTAATGGAAAGTAACAGGGATACCCTATGACAGTTTCTTTTGCAGAATCTGTAGGTTGAAGGCAGTGATGTTTGGTGATACTGCTGATTTACTGATCGGCGCAGCCACTGTAGTTACCTCTAACCTTGGAGAAGTTTAGAGGATTTTGGACATCCAGTGGATGGTGCAAGGTGATCTCCATGTTTCTCTTGCCCCACAAAAACCTTAGCTGATTTTGGCAAGCCAGTTTAGACAGCAATTGCTTCCTATCCAAGTTTGGACAGAAAAAAGGCCTACCACTCCCAGGATGCTGAATGCAGCATAGAATCCCTTGAAGGATGGTGGCACTTCACACCTTCCCTAGTGCAGGCTCCGAATTTGGTCTTCTGGCTTTGGCTCCACCACTGGTGTGGAAAGAGCCACACTGGCCAATAGAGTGCTTTAAATTCAGAATCCCAACTGTCACTTGTGTGCAGTTCATGGAACAATTTTTATGTATGTTATCCCTTTCCCAATCCTGCCTCTGAGGAACTGCATCCCAAAGTTGCAGACACGGTGTTGAAAGCGTGACGCATCTGAAATGCTCAGAATCCCGCCCCCCGCCCATAGATTTACCCTTAGAGAAAAGAACCCCTTCTTTTCACAGCTCTTGAGTCTTGGGATACATAAAACTGCCTCAGGATTTTAAGAGAATGGAAGACTTGTTTGCAAATATCATTTGCTCTTTGCTGTTTTAGTGTTGCTGGAATTCTTTGTCACTCAGCGAGTAAATAGCAGCTCTTTCTTTCAGTGATCTAAAAGCTGACTACCATATTTGTGCTGCTCTCATGCATACAGATGAGTTGCCATTTTTAACTTGTACTGTATGGGTGTTAGTCTGCTCTTTATTAAGTATTAAGCCATCAATTAGGAAGACGCCTGTGATTTGTCAATCCTAATTGGCCACTGCAGCACCTGTGCCCTCCAGATCTGTTCCGGAGGATCCCTGAAACCTGTGAAGTGGATTTGGAGGGCATAGTGGGAGGAGAGGATGTGGAAGTGCTGTTTCATCAGTGGAAGGCTTAGCTGAAAGCCCCAGGTGCAAATACTTTCACTCCCACTGTGCAAAACCATTTTGCTGTGTTGTGTGCTTCTTGTTGAATAAGTGTCTTTGGTACAAAATACTTACACCCACAAGTTTTTGATGGGTGTATCTCCGCATTAGGAGATATCAAAGAATCATATAAGCAGAGGACCACCATGGTTAGCACAGCCCTGAAATTCATCTCCTCTCTTCTCACCTTGGCTTCTAGGGAGACAGAGGGGGTCCCAAGCACAGCCATCCGGGAGATCTCACTGCTAAAGGAACTGAATCACCCCAACATTGTCAAGTAAGTGTGTGGAGAGAAGTTGGCAGAGAATGAGCAGAATGCCATGTGGTGGGGGAAGGAAGTGGGAGTGCCCCTCGTTCTGGATCATTGATCAAACTTACTGAGTTACACTTGAAACAGGTGCAGTTCCGCAACAATTCTGTTAAGTACCAGTATAATAGCCTACCCTATCAGTACCCACTAATAACCAATGCTGGATTGTTCAAAAAAGAATATATAATACATGAGGGAAAATTACTATCCCCAGTAAATCTCTTTTTGCTCATTGCAGGAGTATAAGGACATCTTATGTTTCACTAAACTACCTTTATCAAACTTTTCACTTTTTTGCATGTTCCTCTGCCCCATCCTTGACTCTGCAGGCTTCTGGATGTGATCCACACTGAGAACAAGCTCTACTTGGTCTTTGAATTTCTCCATCAGGACCTCAAGAAGTTCATGGATTCTTCATCTTCCATCAATGGTGTAGAGTTGCCTCTTATCAAGGTAACCGAGGAAAGGAAAAGCAGCTGGTTTATCCAAAAGCAGCCCCTTAGTCCATGAATGCACCGGTCCCATTTATATTCACAGGTCCAAGGAGTGCAACTCCAGGAAAAATGGAATGGACATGTGACTTTTATTCAGTGTTGGTCTAACTTGTCCCATTCGTTTTGATGGGTCTTCTGTAGGTGGGACTAACGTCAGATACAATCCCATGCTTCCCTTGCTGGTGGGGTGAATGAGGCACCTCTTGGCATATGCAGGAGCTTCTTTCAGTGAAAGAACACAGTGTGAGCTCCTTGGTTTAGCATGCTCCTGAATCCTATGGAGCTGGCTGAAATCATTCTGTAGACCTGAGGGTCTTTGTAAAATGCGCAGGGTGCTTTGCACAGATCTCCTGTGTTGGATCATCTCCTTCCTGCCCCCCTCCCCCTGCTCACAAAAGCAGTTTGTACACACTGAATGCATCACAAGCCTCTGTGCAGCCCTGCCTGTTTTCCTGGAAATGTGCAGATCAGGAACTGCAAGCTGGGACTGGGGAGGAGTGGTTCCCTCTAGGTTGAAGGCCTTGGCCTCACATTCTCACTCGTGGCAAATCCAGCCAAGATCCATCATATGTACCCCAAAGCAATAGGATTCCATTGAGTCCTAAGACCATCCATTTCCATGGCTATAGTAGAAGGGTGGCAAGGGCTGAATTATGCCTTATGACTCTAGGTCTCAAGTTTACAAAAATCACATATATATCCCTACCAGTTTGTCTTTAAACAGCTCAAAAACCCAAGGGTAAAACATTAAAAAAGCAAACAGTCCCCTCTTACAACTTGAGCCTTCTACTGTGACCCAGTAGCTACAGCCCAGATGGCTTACATCCCCTCCTATTATTAAATTCATTTCAAATCACCACGATGAAATGGCATAAGGGATGGAGGTCACCCCTGCTAAACCAATGAGTCACTTGGTGTCTGTGGGTACAGCAAGAATGCCTCAGTGGGCAGAAGGGGTCAGCCTTGAAGACCAGTCCCTGAACTGTCTGTCAGCCTGCTGTGCAAGGGAGCCCACATCAGCAGTGGAGCCTGCTTTTGGCGTTGTGGGGCTACTTTCTCCTCAGCTGTCCCATCTGTCTTCTGCTAGAGTTACCTATACCAGCTGCTGCAGGGCCTCGCCTTCTGCCACTCTCATCGGGTGCTGCACCGTGACCTTAAGCCACAGAACCTCCTGATCAATGCTGAGGGAGCAATAAAACTGGCGGACTTTGGGCTTGCTCGTGCATTTGGGGTGCCGGTGCGAACCTACACGCACGAGGTGAGTATCTTCCTTGCCACCACCATGTGGAAGTGAAGGCCTGGAATCAAACCCAGTTGGAATGTTTGGAAATTAAGGTTGTGGGGAATTCATCGAAGCTTTCACATCTCCCCATGTTTGTCTAATCTAAGAAATATTGCTTGTTGACTTACATCCTTTCTTCTCAGCCATTACTCTTTCTCTCTTTTCCTTTCCCCCACTATTTGGAGAAAAAGTTGTTATCCCAGCGCTACTGATGTGCAAGCAATGGCACGAACTTGTTCCCTGGAATTTTCCCCCAGGTTGCTGGGGAATAACAATTTTATATTATGTGAGGAAGTCCTGCAAACAGTATAGAAGCATGATTATTTCAGGATGCAGTGGCCACATAACTAGCTGGGGCCGGCCAGCCAGATCATGTAACATCTGACTTAGACCATCTCTGTTGGCTATTGGTTTACTTACACAACTAGTTTGAAGGGCTAGGTCTGACCTTCTGCTGTGGCTGCCTGATGAGGAAGATCCACTTGGTCCCATCGTGGTGAGGGAGGAAAGTTGTTCTATTCCAATAAGTGTTTGTTTCTCTTGCACTTTATTTATTTGTATTTTTCATTGGTTGCATTGCTCCATTTGAGCTGGAAAAGTCAAACCGAAATGATGAGATGCAAATGGAACTACTGCCATTTTTAAAGCTGGTTGAGAAAGTCAGACTTGGAGTGTGTGGTCTGGACTCTAAAATTGACTCTTGTCCCAACCAATGGATTAAAAAAGCACACTGGAAATGACGGCTGCTTCAGTGTCTGCCGGCTATTGGGGGAAAGTGGGTTGAAAGCCACTGGGCATGACAGCGGAACAGCTGCTGCTCAGAGGCAGCAAACTAGTTCACACAACCAAAACAAACCACCTTTGCTTAAATAGGTTGCAGTGGCCTCTTTTGTGCCAGGCAACTTTTCCACAATTACCTGTCTGAACAGTGGCCTGCTGCCGGCTTGTGTGAAGGTCATTTCTCCCTTTGTACAAGCCATGCCAGGTTTGCATGACACAACCAGCTGCATCTAGGTGGGTAATTGAGAACCAGTGTGGTGCAATAGTTAAGAACGCAGGTTTGGGACTCAGGCAATCTTGGTTCTAGTTCCCAGTCACATACTCTCAGCCCATCCTACCTCACGGGGTTGTTATTGCGGGAGAGCAGGAGTTGGAGAATGATGTAAGCCGCTTTGAGTTCATGAGAAAAAAGTGGAATATAAATCTAATAAATAAATGAGGAAGTGGTGCTTGGCATGTGCCACTGGGGATTAAAGCAACCCACCAGGGTTTGCTTATTTATTTTATTTCATTTCTATCCTGCCTCTTTTCCACCAAGGAACCTAAGACAATTTACATAATCCTCTCCATTTTATCCTCACGACAATTCTACGATTTAAGCCACTGTGACCTGTTCGGTCATGCAAGCTGGCCCAGTCTCTAAAACAGGGATGGGTGACATGACATGTAGCCTTCTACAGTGCTGCATGATCTTGGCTGAGCTGGCTAGCTCTGATGGGAGTTGTAGGCCAAAACACCTGGAGGGCTGCAGGTTGCCCACCCTGGTATGTGCCAATGAAGAGCACAGTCACGTGGATCTGGAGTGCTTTCACCTATTTTTAAGACTTTGGACTCACATGTGGGGCCTGGTTGCCCTAGTCCTGTGGATGGCTTTGGGGATATGAAATTGCATCTTCTGTTCTTGACAGCTGCGAGCAAAGTTGGACGCTGCTTTTCACTGAGTTAGAGCCCTGGTCCTTCTAGCCCAGTATTGCTGGCACTGCCTGGCAGTAGCTGTCCAAAAGCTCAGGCAGCAGTCTGTCCCCTCCCTACCTGGAAGTGCTGGGAATTGAACCTGGGGCCTTTTGCGTGCAAAGCAGGTGCTCCATCCAGAAGCCACAGCCCTCCCTACCAATCAGGACTGTGGAGTTGGAAGCAATTCCTGGATTACTGAAGTCAGAGTTGGAGTGGGTAAAAATGTACCACTCCAACTCTATGTTTAAACTGTAATATAAATAATATGTTAAAATTTCCTATTTCACAGATAACAATTTGAGTAACCTGCTTTTCAGGTTATATTTTCAGGATATATTTTAACAGGTTAGGGTTTTAAAAGTAGCCTGATGATTCACGTTGGCAGTGATGAAATGCCTTGTAGGTTGAGCGCTTTCAATTGATATAGGAACTGCATAATTAGTATAGTTATTTCCTGTATTGATATATAAATTATTATTATTATTATTATTATTATTATTATTATTATTATAACATTTCTATGCCACCCCTTGCCGAAGCCTCGGGGCAGCTTACAACACAATAAATAAAGGAGTCACAGCTGAAGGTACCATAAAATGGGGAGTCAAAGTCGGAATCAAAGCTTTTATGTACCAACTCCACAGCCCTGCCACAAATAGAGCCCTCCTCCTTCAGATCTTCCCCTTCTCTTCTTAGGAAAGGGTGAGGTAATTCACCAGCTGGGTTGGGCAGCGAGTTTGGTTGGGAAGAGGGCCATTGTTTTCAGAGCGGTTCATGACTCTCAAGGGAAAACATCACATACAACAGAACTTACCTGATCTTTGTTGATTTGTCTTAACTGGATTCAGTGTGTTTCCCATGCCAGGTGAGCCTTGGAAAAGCAGCACTGCTGTTTGATCAAGCCTCTATGCGTAATTATGTGGTCGTTCTAGGCATGCACAGTCATGCTTGTCAACTTGCGTTTAAGGCAGGGAAGTGGAACCTCTTTGGTTCAGGGTGAGATTTCACCCCTCTTGGCCTAATCCAGTGGGCTGAAGGGCATTAAGGGCAGGGTGCTGCTCCACTTCTCTTGCCATGGCACCCTTGTCTGTTTTTCCTTTCTCTGCTCCTCTCTGCAGAGGGAAAGGGGCTTGACCAGCATTTGGAGGAGCAGATCCGCCACGTGTGGCCGAGTGATGCGCCTCCTCTGTTGAGCCGTTTGTTCTGACCAGCCTGCCAATGGTCAGTAGGCTTACTTGGCACTTGGAGGAGTTGCATGTTTCCTTCCTGCCCCAGTGCAGGTGGCACAGAGAAAGCCATTCAGGTGGTGCTTGGAAAAACTGCACCATGCACAGGCTGAGCTGTGTAAAGGGTCACTTGGCCCATCTGAGGATGGGACCCACAGAGGCCCTCCACAGGCCGAATGCTCCACACTCCTGCTTCAGGGTGTTGCTGTGTGCATTCCTGTTGGATCTGAGCACTGTTCTGCTTTCCAAAGCACTTCCGTTATCGTTCTGATGCAGTGCATGAGCTGCAGCTATCTGTTCATCTGCCTTGCTTTTTAATTGCATGCGTGTAGGACAGTGTGCTGCGTTACAAATGAGTGCTGTCCTTTACTCTAGGTGGTGACCCTCTGGTATCGTGCTCCAGAAATTCTCCTCGGTTGCAAGTACTACTCAACAGCTGTGGACATCTGGAGTCTGGGTTGCATCTTTGCAGAGATGGTATGGACCTTTTGGAACGGTTGAAGGCAAAAGGGGAAGGGGGCGGTTGAGGTGGCTGGATGGGGTCACTGGAGAGATGAGTGTGGGGTTGAGTACTCGGGGGGGGTGGAGGACAGGAGAACCTGGAGGAATGTTGTCCACGGGGTCACATTGTTGGGCACAACTTCGTGACTGCACAGCAACAACGGACCTTTCTTGGAAAATGCAGGTGGGGTGGGGCAGTGAACTGACACGAGACCAGCCCTGGTATGAAACTGGTGATGAAGAATTGTAGCCCCCAGCAGAGTTGCAATGCTATGACAGAATCTTGGATTTGCATCTATTTCTGCAAACCAAAACTACTCTCTTGGGAAGGCGGAGTCAGAGGATGTGACCCCATTGTTTTGTGGTGGGGGAAGTGACACTGCAGATACGAAACCTTGTGGGAAGCAAGTTACCTTGGTTTTGCACCCCTGACAGTACTTGGGGCTACTGTGAGTGGAGACAAACTGGGCAAGAAAGGTGCTGGAACAGCTTCAGTCCCCAGTGAATGTAGGTGAATGTCTTTGAAAGAAAGGGATGCTGCTGCCCACTTTCTGTATTACTGGACTCCTAATGCTCAGCCGGCATCAAAGTGCCAAGTAGCCCAGCACCCAAAGCCGAAGGCAACACTTATCACCCACCAGACCTTTTCGAGCTCAGACCGTAGCATGATAGCAGCGCTGCTGCTGAAAAGGTGCTTACCAGGCAAGCAGCTTGAGTGGATTCATGTTGTGGAGGAAAGCGGAACACACACGCTCCTATTTACAGGGGACTGCTGCTAACTTCCCCCATTTTCTTTCTTGGGCGCTTTCCCTGCCATGCCTTATATTTTCCTTTCTAATCCTTGCACTAGCTGGCAAAGTGTAATTGAAGGTATGGTCATGTAGGCTCCCCCATACCAGGGCCTGGAATGTTTGCTTTGGCCATGAAGATGTGAGTATATGAGACATTGTTTATATTTTAGAAACGATCGGGCAAGCTCCTAACCTTTCTGGCAGAGGGGAGAATACTGTAAAATAGGGGTGAGCAACACTGCGCTTCTGCCTTCACTGCTCCCCCTCTCCCCCAAATTCACTAATCCATGGGGACAATGGCACCATAATATCAGTATGGATGTGCTATTTTTAAAATTATCTTTGCAGTATTTTGGGGTATGTGAGGCCCAGATGGGGCACCTGGGGGGTGAAATGGCCCTTTGACCTCCTGAAGTTGCCCACCCCAGTGGAAAAGGATTTTAAAGACAGTAGATAAAGAAATTATAGTACAAGCTTCTTGCAGCCCCTGTGTCACACAGAGTATTGTGGAAAGGCACAGTTAGCTCCTTCCAATTTCAATTTCTCTTCTTGATTCTGTGCCGCTACAGATGTTGCCTTTTCCTTTAGTTGATACTTTCTGTTGCATTCTTATAGTTTTATGCCTGGTTGTTCTTACTTATAATTTTAAAAAAACCTAGGAAAGATTTGGGCAGTTTATTTTAAAGAATTAGGAACTTCCAAGTTGTATGTTGGTGGATGAGTGGATGCTTTCCTGGGTTTGGTCCCCAGCATCTTAGTTTAAAAAATTGGGAAGCAAGGCTGGTATGCCTGGTGCCTTAGAAGAAGCTTGTGTTGGTTGGGGCAGGCAGTTGTGAGCCAAGGGCCCACAGTCTGTTCTGTAGAAAGGGTCCTGTTTTCTAGATGCCTTCCATAATCAAAGGATAGGCCTGTTCCATTTGTCCCCCACCCAACCCATATCTGGGCACTGATGGTCCCAGCACTTCTCCCCATATCCCAGCAATGTTCAGCTCCCACTAGTAAAATGCAAGCACACAGTTTCACCCCAAATGTAAAACGTGTGTCAAGTGGGTTTGTGCGGATATGCCTGTCTTACATCATCTACTGCATTTGCTGTTCTTGGAAAGTCTCAGCCTATCACTTCCTCGCAGACACTTTTCCATGCTGCAATGCATGCAAATGTCGGAATAGCGAGCTCCTGTTCATTCATCCGTTGCTGTGTGTGAAGCAGGGCTCGTGCAGATCAAACGCTTCCCACATCCTTTCCCTCTGCCTTGTGAAGAGCTGCTGATGAGATCAGTTGACTTGGTGTGTGCTTCGGGGGAGGAAGCGACTGGGGACAGGGAATAGAAGAGGTCTGTTGTGAGCTCCCCCTTTCAAAAGGTCAGAATAGGGCTTGGGGGCAGTGCTAGATTTTTCCCACTAGGTGGCGTTATACTCTGGTGGGTTAGAGCATCTTTCATGCGCGGCAGCGCTGGGGCCTGTGTCATGCCGGGAATGATTCTTGCGGGAGTTTTCTAGTCTCTATTCGCTTCATCCTCCAGGAGTGCTATTGTGATCAAAACCCAGTTATTTTCTATTCTGCTGTTCTGTCTAATAACTGAAGTTTGCATAACATTGCAGGTAAATCCACTATAATCAAGGCAGTAAAATAAACAATGTCACACTTAGTAAAATGGAAGCATTTAACTCTCACTAAGGCAAGCATTAAAATGAAATATTTGAAGACTAAAAGCAGCAGATCAAAACAGTTGCAGTGAAGAGGCCCATTAAAAGTTCGTGGAAATCTTAAATACCTTTTATGTATAAATGTGTTCAGTTTCAAAATAACATTGCACTAAGTGACATGCGAAAACAATAAGAAAAATGTGCAGTCAATAAAAATGGGGATGAGTAAAACTATTAAAACAGAATGCCTGGAAGCTTGGAAACACTCGCTGCATAATTAGAGTTGAAGAAACAAGTAATTTAATACTTGGAGGGAACATCTTTGAATTGCTTGAAGTGCTTTTCGCCCACCAGTTGAAACATCAGAAGCTGCTTTATATTTGACTGCTCTGTTTATGTGACAAGCAGGGGCTCTCCTGGATTACATGTGGAGGTGGTTCTATTACCTGAGACCTTATCCTTTCAATGGACAGTGTCCAGAATCAAACTTAGGAACGTACGAGCTGTGTTCTGCCATTCAGCTACATTGCAGTGGTGGAACTCAAGTGGTGCAAGTGGCCGAAGGCCCAGCTTGGGCCAGAAGTGTCAAAGTGAGGACTTCTCAAATGAAGAAGCCCTATTCAGCCTCATCTTAAGAAGTAGAAGGCCATGGGAATAGGGCTGCCTTTTTTGATCTCAGAAGATGCATTTAGGTGCACAGAGCTTAGGTTGTTCAGAGCTTTAATGCTAGCGGTCCAGAAGCAATTTTGGAGCAAGCGCAGGATTGAAGTAATGCACTTTCTGCAGTCTGTTAATATACTTTTTGTAGCCTGTTCTGCATTGACTGGAATGCCTGACATACCTGGAAGTGTTGCCCAACACAGAGCACATGCTGGTAGCCCCGAGCAGACATTAAAGTGGATTGTGGATAGCAGTTAGGGGCACATGCTTGCCATTAGCAGGACAGGGGCGGGTAGGTCAGGGAGAGGCACTTTGGTCCTCCTGGTGGCTTGGACATCAGCCCAGCCAGCATGGCCATGGGCCGGGGATGATGGACAAGCTGAGGCTGCTGAGAACCTCTCGGTTCTACGGGTGGCTGGCCAGTCAAACAAGAACAGTGGAATTGGGATTTTTCCTTTGCATCTATTTTGAGCCTACATGGTCCATTTGGTAGACACGATTCAGTCTGATTCGACAGCCTTGTTAACCTCGCCTATCCTGCTCTGTTTGCAAGGCCTCGAGCAAGCAACTGTCAGTCTCTTTTTCCAGTAAAAAAGGGACTTGCCTTCTCAGGCTGTGGCAATGGCTGAGTAAAAATGATGATGTTTCTTTGCAGATCAAACATTCCCAGAGGTTAGTCTATTGCAGCAAAACCAGAAATAAATAGATGCTGGTATATGCTGTCTTTAAGCTTATGTCAGTGTCCACCAAAGCAGTGGTCCTCATAAATTTTGCTCATCAGAACTCCTCCGTGCTTTTGCAAGGGACGTGTGTTCTATAAATGGTAAATGATGGCAGGATTTCTGAAATTGCTGCTTTGCCTTAGGCTTTGCTTAATCCTGCTTTCTGTCCAAGGAGTGCAGGTTTTAGTTCATGATTCTCCCAGCATCCTGCTTTTATCCTTACAGCAGTCCTCTGAGATTGGTTAACCTGCTGTTGAAGAGAGGGATAATTCTAAATAACCTGCTTCAGTAGGAACTCCAGAATAATCTGTACTGACTGGCCTCCGAAAGCTTCTTGGCTGAAGAGGGATTTGAATTTGAGTCTGCCCAGGTCCTGGTCTGGCAGGTGAACTGGTACATCATACTGGATGGCTGTGCAGCATGGATCTGCACCAGCTGTGGGTGAGGGAAGGCACCCTATAGACGCTGCACTGACCTGCCCTTCTGGTTTTCCTTCCTTTGCTAAACAGTTAACCCGCAGAGCACTCTTCCCTGGGGATTCTGAGATCGACCAGTTGTTCCGCATCTTCCGCACACTGGGCACACCGGATGAGACCGTGTGGCCAGGCGTCACCTCCATGCCTGATTACAAGTCCAGCTTTCCGAAATGGGCCCGGCAGGACTTCAGCAAGGTGGTGCCGCCTCTGGATGAGGAGGGCAGGAAGCTTCTCGCAGTGAGTTGCAAGGCAGGGGGGAGGGGGGAGCTGCCTCAGCTCTGGGAAAGAGGCATCTGGGTGCACTTCCCTTGGCTATTAGTCACCGAAACATTTCCTGCCTGACATGCAGCCAGCAGCTTGTAAGAGAGACCCACTGTGCTGTCCCAGCCAAGCATCCCTTTGTCAGAATCCTGTGACCTTTAGAGGTGCATGAATGGGAACATGCCTTCAGCCTTTCTTGCAACGGGAAGTGAGGCCTTTCCACCAGCCCTGCCCAAAGACAGGCCCCCTGAGGCTCCTTCCTTAATGGTCTCCAGTGGCACCCAATCCAAGAGGTTGCAGCAGGAGGAAGTGAGAGGGGAACCCGGGACATTTCACCATCCCTGCTCAAAGACTACTTTTTCCCTCTTGCCTCCCCACCCTTCCCCCCCCACCCTTTTCTTATTATGTAAGCCTCATGCAGAGTGGGGTGTTTTAATAAGGACATGGAATGATGGTGCTTGAAACAGGTGGAAAGCATGGGCTGCCAGCATAAGCCTGTGCTGCCTTCTGAACCCTCCTGGTGCATCAACAGTCCTGGCTTTCCTCATGTACCAAAAGTCAAAATTCTTCTTTATGCCGCATTTCTTGCTCTGTCCTTCCCCGAGTTCCTGCTTGATGCCTCTCACCACCCCCATGTTCTGCTTGGTGCTCTAGGCTTTGTGCTGTGCTTAATCGCTCTGCTGCTAGAGCTGGGCTCAAATCACGCCTGCCTTCCCCTGAGCTGTGCTCAAAGCACTCCTCTGCTGTCAACCACTGCTCAAGTGGAAAAGTTGGTTTTTCATTCTTTCGGCCTTCGGTCTGTTGCCTCAACCCTTCCTCCTCTCTCGTTTAGCAAATGCTGCATTACGACCCCAACAAGAGAATCTCAGCCAAGACCGCCCTCAACCATGCCTTCTTCCGAGATGTCACAAAAGCCGTGCCACACCTTCGCCTGTGAGATGGGATCAGGAGCAGCAACCCTGCCCAGCCATGCGGGGTGCAACAAACAGCTTTTTCAGACTGTACTGGCTGCTTGCACTTAACTTTTCAGCTTCATCCTGACTAGAAGAGTGGAATTTCAGTTGGGCAGTCAACACCTTGTGGGGGTTTTCCTCCTGGACTCGTTTGAAGGCACTAGCTGAGCTTGCAGATTGGTGATTCCTGGCTGTTTTGCATGAGGAGAGGAGGACTCCTACAGCCAGTGGTCACAACAGCTCCCGTTGCTCTGGGGGGCAGCAGCTCCATTTGTTAAGCTTTTTTATCCCCCAGGAGTGCTCTCCATCTCCTTCCTGTTTTAAGGACTTGGACAGTGGGGCTTCTGTACCAGCCCGACTCTGATTCTGCCTTCTCTGATTCCACCTTCTCCTGTGCAGTCGCTCTGCCAGGCAGGGGCAGCCTTTCTGGTTTGGGACTAGGAGTGTTGGCTTTAAAGGGAAGACTGCTGTCTGCGGAGTGTTCTCTTGTATCTAGTTGGTATCAGCAGAGGTGTGCCCACCTTTTCCTTCCAGATCAAGACCCTTGGGCTATGCACTTAACTCTCCACTTTTCAAAAGCAGAAAGAAGTTTTAATCAAGGTCTCAGGAACTTCAGCAGCAACGGAACTCCTGTGTCCCTTTGCATCTGTGATGTTGGGTGGAATCGCTCAGCTGCCTGTTCCCAGTGCTGCAGTATTTGGGGCCCTGCTAAAAGTCACCCTTGGGTAATGGAGAATAGTGACTGCTCCACCAAACGCTTCTTAACATTTCTTCTTATGCAGAATGCTTAAAAAAAGAAATCTCGCAGAGGTGCTTATAGGGGTGGTTGGAGGAGAGGGAAACATCCTATCCCTACCCCACCTCACCCTTCCTAGCATCATATTGTCATGTCTCCTGCACATGTACCTCTGAACCATGCAGTGATATGCATGTTCTCCCTCCACTTGTGGCCAAGTAAAGCCTGGCTTTACTTTGGCCACCACGCTCTGCTGTCCCATACGTGCTGCAAGGCTGTTTCCCCAGAACAGGCATTCGGCTTCTTAAATTTTTGGGGCTCCAACTTCTTTTCAGGAAACCAGCAAATCCCTGGTTAGGATAGATCTGCACAGGAGCCTTGGCTTCAAGCACTGTGTTCTGCAAACAGGCTTCAAAAACTGTGGGCGTGTTAGCTTCAGAATTTTCAGTGCTCTTTCTTGCTTCTCCTTGCCCCCAGTGCCACACAGCTTGGCCAAAATAATGCAACTTAAGTATGAAATTCACATTTGCGATGTGTGAAGTGTACTGACCCAATCTGCAGAGCTAAAAATTTCAAAGCCCTGCCTCTGAGCCATTTTTTCACAGACATTCAGGCTTTTTAATTCAATTCAATTCAACTCAATGCAGGTTAGCCTGAAGTGACTTGAAATGCAGTGTTAATCCATTGGGGGTGGGAAGCTAAATTCTTCTAAGGAAATCAGGATTGGTTTCTGATCAATTGCAGGTTTTGATAAATTATAGCTATGACAGCATGGAATTATAGTGTTGTTGGCTTTAGGGGTTCATCCCGGCTGAGTCATTGGTGTTTTGTTGTTGTTTTACAGCAATCAAGTTCTATCTTGAGACAGGAGAAGTATGAAAATTGATGCCACAATAACTTGGACATATTAAATGCAATCTCTCTCTCACCTACAATTAGAGCTTTGGAATCATTCCAAGTGTTATGTGCTATTGCACATCTTGCCAGCCAGAAATGTGGTCTATCCAAAATGTGAGGCTTCTGTAAAGCTTGAGGGATCACTTGTTTCTTAGGCATATTTAAAGTGACTGTGCGTGATACTTACCTTTTTAATAAGAAAGTCGATGAATTCTGGGAAGCAGTAATGAAATTGCTCCACAGATTCAGTGAAGATGGAGAGGAAGTTACCCTTCAAAATAAGTCATAATCTATGGACCCTTTATGTCCAGCGTTTTAGAGTTGAATGGAAACTTTGCCATTCTCTGTGTGGTCAGCTGTATTATATCTAGCAAATATCCTAAAACAGCTGACATGCCAGAGGGCTTCATTGAAGAAAGTGTGAATTTCATATCTGTTAAGCTAAAATGGACATTCTTGTTCAAAACAGCTTAAAAATTCCAAAATTGACCATCAATGCAACTTCTAAGGAGTTTTATTGCCCATATATTGTAATCCATATGCAGTATTTGGAAGCAAAACTTTCTTCCATCTCTTCTTCATCTTTTGACTGGAATACATTTATATATTTATAAGGTTGTTAGTTTTAAAGAAGAGTTCTGGATTTGTATAGAACTTCTTAGTATAAGCACCTTGACTTTTTTGGTAATATCTTTTTAATGAAAATAATTATTTTTGACCTTTTTGGTAGTTCTTTAAGACAGATGTTTCTAAAAGTACTGTGAAAGCAGTTTATAAATCATTAAAATATGTGTAGTTTTAACATGTAGCTTCTGTTTTCCTAATGCAAAGTTTCTCACAGTTTCGTCATTTGCCTCATCAGAACTGGATTCCCCCCCCCCCAACAGGTGAGACACGAGGGGGAGGCACCTGCCATGCACTTCACTAAAGCTTTTAGTGGTATTGTGGGAATTAGATTTTGGATCAACTTAAATAAAACATTCATATTCGGAATTGTGTCTTCTGCGCAGCGACCAGTGTGTGACAGCAGTGTTGCACTGTGTGGCCTCTGCACTAAAGCCCACCTGAACACGAATCAAAAGAAAGAGAAGCAGCAGGACCACCTGGGCTCTATAGATCCCTAAATCTCCTGAGGTGTTGATTCCAGGAAAAGCTTGTGAAAGAGGGGGAGTTGGTCTTACGGAGAAGCTCTTCCAAGCCATGAGTCCATATTTTGGGAGTGGGGGTTATGTCCCCTGTAGGCCTGCTCACATTGCATCCATTTAAGTTCCATAGGAAGCTGCCTTATCCTGTAGTCAGGCAGTTGATCCTTCTAGCACCATATTGTCTCTAGCAGGGGCAATGAACCAAATCCGGCTCTTCAGGAGGCTTCTGGTGACCATGTACCTCTTTCTCCAATCATTTGGTGGTTTCCAGACCTTGTACAGATTTTTCTCTGGCAGGTTGAAATGCCTCTCCTAAGGCTGTTTTTGGCAGGAAGAGCTTTAAGCTAAAATACTGTGGTAATTTTGGCTCCAGCTTGTTTGCCTTTGATTTTGCTTGCCATTGAAATGCCCCTGCAAGTCTAGTGAAATGGAGTTCAGTTCTTGGGCTGAAAGATTGACGGCTCTGGTCTAGTAGCAGATCTTTAGCATTTTAGAGAGAGTCTCTGAGCCCTATTTGAAGATGCTGACAATTGACTTTGAGACTTGTACCACACCAACCATGTGCATTAACCCCATGGGTCCCAATCTTGAATTCCAGTAAAAAAGGATTAGTTTTCAAATCCTTTAACTGGAGCAGAGTGCTGAAATGTGCATCAATCCATATTTAACTGTAGCGCATTGCAGAGAATTCTGGGCTTTCCACTGTATCATGTAGATACTGGCATTAACTTTTGGAGAATCGGATTAGCTGACACTCGCACAGAACAAACTCTGGATATGGTCCCACTACATTTGCACATACCTGCACTTCTCTGCTTGGTTCTGATGCCCTGCTCTGGGTCTCATCCAGTGATTCTCAATGTTGGGGTCACTGACTTTGAAGCATGGAGGGAGAAAAGGGATGCGCTAGCAGGCAAGAGTCTATACAGCAGGGTAGTCAGCTTGGGGCATTACGGGGTGGTGGAGACTGCAGTTCCCCTCGCTATTAGCTGTGTGGGCTCAGGCTGATGGGAGTTATACTCACAACATTTGCTGGGCCACAATTTGCTCACTCCAGTTGTAGACAGACTGGCAATTGCTTTGCCTGCAGACTTCCTGTTTACGTTTGATGCTATAAATTCCCTGCAATAGTTGATAGCCATTCATACAAAAAAGCGTGGAAATCCAGGACTTCAGCAGTGGAGCATTGCAGGCTGTACAGTACTCCTGCTCCCCAAAACATTTTCTCAGAAGCTTAGGCAGAAACTCATATCCTTTCAGACTTGGTTTTTCTGATGGCAAAATCAGCTTTTGAATTTTTAGACACTGAAATAATCCTGGGAATTACAAAAGACGCAATTATACATTTATTTATTATTAAATGTGTGTAATAGCCACCCATTAGCAACATGCTCTTTGGGCAGCCATCACAGTATAAAATTAGATTACATTAATAAAATACAATTAAAATAAAATCATAAAAATAAAACATTAATAAACAGTGCACTGATATAACTTACATCTGGAAGGCATTAGATGGAGAAGGTTGAAAGCCAGTGTGGTGTATGGTTGACGGACTCAAAAACTGGACACAAAGTTCACTGGGTCAGTTGCTGACTCTCAGCCTATCCTACTTCACATGGTGTGAGAATAAAATGGAGATAAGGTAGATTGTAGCTGTCTCAGGTTCCTTGCAGGGAAAAAAGATTATATAAAATATATGCAATAAAGAAAATGCTAGAATAGGAGGAATAAGCTATCTAATGGAGTCTCTCTAGCCAAGGGAAGTGGGCCAGAGCAGCCTACAGCAATCCTGGAGTGTAATTCAGAATGATCTCAATAGCACAGTCAGGGGAGGCCTAAGTCTTGAGTATATATGCCAGTACTGAAATGTAGCTAACTGGTAGTATATAGGAAAAGGCATAGCCAAAGCCAAGAATGTCTTGTGCTCCATTTGCAGGCAGTCTTCCCATTTTTCCTTTTTTTATTATTCCTTTATTTTTAGCTCACCCTTTATGCAAAAAGGCTGTTCTACAGGTGATTTACAAAGTTCTGTCTTAGGACAATCCCTCTGTACGTGTACAATCTAAAAACAGAACACAAAAAGGAGTGGGAGGAAAAAACCAATTTAGGCTGGTTCTTAGCTGCAAAGTTCAGCAGATCATGGAAACAATGGAAGGACTGCTACTTCCTCTGCTTCTGGTGAACTCAGCAATGACAACTGATAGCAGGAAGAAACTACGGGTGTGGCGGGAGGGTTGTCCTCGGGCGCCATTGAGGAGCGCCTGATTCTCTCACCACTCTAGATTAGCTTCAAATGGAGATCCGAGATGTAATCACCGAAGGACTTGCCTTACAGTTGCAGCTGTTTCTGTAGATGGGGAGCAAGAGCTTCCAGCTCTGCCGTAGACACACTGAAAGGCTGGGCCAGCTTTCCCCAATCTGGTGCAATCCGGATGCTTTTGGACTACAACTCCCATCATCCGTGGCCACTGGCAGTACATTGATGGGGTTGCAGTCCAAAACCGTTAGTGGCTACCCAAGAAGCCTGTTTAGCTTTCTTCCTCAAAGGCTGATCTTTTCCTTCTGGTTCGCGAGCCAGCATCCCGTCCACTGGACCCCACCATCCTTCCGGCGCCACTCTGCCGGCGACCCACGCAACCCTTCCGATGCGGTCATGGGTCACGCCGCTCCCAAGCGTCCCCTTCCTCTCCTTCCCTTCGATTGCCATTCACATCTCAGACCGTTTCTCACTGGCTGGCTGTGCCAGCGAGGTCGCTGATTGGGCCAAAAAGTTCTGGGCACGCCCACCAACTCTAGCTAATCCGTTTCTGCCTCTCCCTAAGCGACATCGAGGATATTTGGCCTGGGATTGGGCAGTGGCGACAGATACACGAGTTATGACTGGCTGTAGATGCCAGAGGACTCCGCCCCTTTAGGTCACCTTATTTGTTGTTTATGAAACCTCCCGAATCTACGATCTTTCTAATGGCTGAATTGCTCGTCAGTTAAAGGAATGCTCGCCCTTTCTATTGGCTAGATGCTTTGTAATTGGCTAGCCCACCTTCTTCATTCTATTGGTGAAATAGCTGCTGCCCATCCTTTCCTTCACTGAATCCCAATTAGCTAGACAGAGCAAGGGTGCGGTTTCGCAAAAGTTGATTGGCCGAGAGGGCGTGCCTGCTCCCCAGGTGCTTAGTGTCAATTGGTTCGGAACGAACTCTAGCTCCGCCTTTCTGCACAGAGGTTGGGTTGGTTGAGGTAGTTTGTTTGTTTGCGAGACAGTCGGGGGCCGCGAAAGGGGTTGTTGGAGCCTTCTCAGGTACACTGACGGGGGACTTGGGCCGCGTAGGTTGTCTGAGTGACGTGAGGGGGTGTCTCCGCGTACTCGGGCGTCGGTTTCCCGAGACAGACGGCTGTCTGGCTACCGAGAGAGTGGGGAGAAGTTGGGCCCTACGACTGGAAAGGGGTGGGGAAGGGAAGGGAAGGGAGTGGGCTTGGCGGCACCTCACGGTGAGGAGGCCTTGTGTCTGGGGAGAGTGGGGGAAGAGGCTTTTGGGATGGGTAGCTGCTGAGAGGCCTGAGGAGGCTCGGGTGAATGAAGCGGGCCCGTTCTTCCCTCCTTCCGCTCACCCTGGGTCGTAAAGGATGGATGTCTTTAGGAAGCTGAATATGTACAGTGGGGTGGGGTGGAGAAGCCGTGTAATACGGAAAAGCGAAAGTGGGGTGGAGGCGAAGGGTCCTGGGCAGCCGGGTGGGGAGGCATTCGGGGATGGGAGTTGCTGGTGGAGTTGGGGCGAGGGTCTCGAGAGGCCTCAGACATGAAGGTTGTGCTCAGTGTAGGTACTGGTGGGTTGCGTTTGCCCCTGATCTGTATTGTTACTGATTATGGCTTCTGGAAATAGAGGACCGGTCGTGGCTGAGTTATTTAGACTGGCTACTTTTTCAGGGGCAATGTTGAGGGCGGAGTGGAGTCTGGATTGATATTGGCTGTAGTAGGAAGGGGGTATTGGCTGAGAGGGGGACTTTGATAGTCCCCCTGTGTTGGTCATTCTTTCAGTAGCTTTGGTACTATGCTTGCTTTTAGATTTAAACTAGTAGGAAGCCTCACCATCTGGTGTTTATTTGGGAGGCTGGTGCATCAGGCACTACTACATTCCCTGCTTCCATTATCTACTTCCAATGAAAGAGATTCTGTACTTTCATTATAATCCTTGTTTTTATTTGTGAAATCTTGATGTTGTGGCAAAATTTTAGATCACGTTATTAAAGCCTGCTTTAATAAAGTCCAAGCCTACTTCTTGTGTTTATTAAAGTGGGCCTTTGTACCCCAAAATAGGCAATAAAGTTACAACCCTAGTTGTTGCTGCTTGTCATGAGGCCTGAGCATAGATGGTTGATCTGTAGAAGCTGTTATCCTTAGTCCTTTCATCTTCTGTTGCTGTTGAAGTGCTTGCTCCTTCCTGGTATCTATGGGCTTTCCATTTTCTATCTTTTGTTCTGGAATCAACCTCATTACTTAAAATTAGGCATCTTGGAGAGGTAAAGTACTCTAGAGTTCTGTTGCTTTTCAAAGAGGAGTGGCCCACTGTATAGTCAGAATCCATAATAAATGTTTGATTTTGTTTAAATTCAAGGTTCTGGTTGATCGTGTGTAATGTTTTCGTTAATTCTTATAATTGTCCTCTGAATATTCTGGAGAAGAACACATTAGGGATCTGTATATTTCCCTTGCTTCAAGGGGCTTATAACCTCTTTACAGCTTGACTCTATTAAAAATGCATTGGTGTAGGCAAGCTGCCCAGAGAATGAGAGTGAAGAATAAAATAGATACATTTATGATGCAACATTAAAAAAAGAGGTAACTGATCAAAAGTACTTAATATGTCCCCTACATGTAAGGCATCATAGCCATCACTCTATTATCTGGTGGTGGTTTGTAGATACCAAAGTTGTAACAAAATTACTTGTGTGCAATGCATTTTGTGCTCATAGTTAAATGGTTATTTCCATGTGCTACATTATGGAGTCCTGTATTTTTCCTCTGTATGGGATTCCCATAGTCCTGTTCAGGTGTGGAATCCGATACTGGACCTTTTGTAGGTCTGTGGGGAAAGGAGAGGATGCAAATAATGGAATTCAGGTTGCAGACCCATGAGATCATTCAATGTGGATTTGTCCTAGAATTTCATGTCCAGTTATGTGATAAGCCTTCCACTGTTTATCTTTCCCTAATCTTGTCCTTATTGCTTCTAATCTAGTTACTATTAACTCTGCAACTAATGAAAGTAAACTTGTATTTTTATTGGAACTGTGGATGTTTCTTGCTACTATTATGTATCTCTGTCATCCACTTTCACTGTTCTTTGGCTGTCACTTGCCATTCTCCTCTACTACTAAAAACAAACTTTTGGATACTTAGGCTGCATATTTGGTTGCAGTTTTTCATCTCCTCATTTTCCACTGTTTTTAATGTGATCTCAGAGATCCTGCATTCCTTCTTGATCTTAAGTTCCTTCTCTGCAAAGTGGCAAAAGCATCTTTATGTAGTCTTTACTACATTAGTACAAACCTTTATAAAATAACTTATGAGCTTCTGTTTGATAGACATAGACAATACTGAACTGCTATCTTAATTTCCCAGTACTAGCCTGATATAACAACTTCTTCTGTGTTCTTACAAATTTCCTTTTAGGTATGTAAAAGGTTAGTGTTAGGAGTTGTAAATTTGCATGTGCAACAACATGAAGTCCAAAAATTATTTAACAAAAGTGGATGGGTTTTCCTTTTCATCTTGGAAAAATATCCAGCTCCCATGGTTACAACGATGCTGCTGCTAATCAGAAATAAGTAAAAAATACTAAGGGGACCGAGGACCCAAAAGTATTTTTAAAAAGCAGAAAACAAAAATTAAGTACCGGATAACAAAGGGGAGTTGTTACCTTCACATCCCATTTAAAAGCTTCTTAGAAGCATCTAACTGTCTGAATTTGGAAACAGATTGCAAACTAAACTTTGGCTTGATCCATCATGGCATTTTTATGACTTCTTACCAATATTTTGTGGTTGTATCTACTGGTTGACCCATATTAAACAGCCAGGCCATTACCTCCCTTGTACAACTTGAAATTAGTGCCACTTGTCATTAAATCTTTCTGAAAAGTGTATAGAAAATAACAAAGTTCATCCACAGCTTGTTCCTTGAAAGACCAGTGCATTTGGTGCTTTTTGTGGTGATGTTCCTTATTTATTAATTTGGAGGATCACAGCATGATAAAACAAGAACAATACTCTGAATTTCAAACTCTTTGGATGGCCACCAAATGGGTGATTTGAATGTAAAGATGTAGCATTGCTTCTGTAATATGTTCAGACCATAAAAAGAGAGCATGCATACATACTTCAATCTGTGCTTAGAAGAAAAAGCATTGTAGACTCTGAAGCTCTAGCAAAATATTCCCTCCTGTCATTTCAGAAGATGAGGAGCTGATTTACCTTCAATTGCAGCCTTCAAAGATAGGTATGCCAACTATTATGCCAACTGAGCCTTAATGTTACAAAGCCCTGGAAAAATGTTTGCCAGGCCCAGATAGTGAGGAAAAATGCTTATGTCAGTGGGTTTCATATCAAGGAATTTGGGAAAGCAAGCCCAAGTTTTCCTTCACTTTTAAGGTGACAGCCTTCCAGCCATCCAGAATAGCAACGTTTTTCTTAATTTGAAGACGGTAATTGAATAACCATATTATTTAATAATATTCCATGATGGGTTGAGGGCTTTTGATCCCTGACATATGGTTCCTATTCATCTCTGGAATAGAAACATGTCAGTAATGTTTTGCTGGTACAAATGCAGTGCTATGAATTTAGTGAGTGTGTTTTTTGTGGCTGCAGTTCTGGAGCATGATTTAAAGGTACAGGTGTTTGCTGAGTTAAGAATGTCTGTGTTACAAACAACCCCTACTTATGAACAAACTTCCATACAGCCTAATAACTCTAAAAATTACTGCAGAAACTTGTAATCACCATAGAGAGAAGAAGCAGAAGGGGAGAGAGGGAGGCCTCCAAAGTATGCCGCCCTGCCCTGCCCTGCCCTGCCCATCTGGAGAGGGAAATCTTTCCAGCATTTCCTTGCTGCAAAGAGGAGGCACTGGTGAGTTTGGACAGGGGAGCGAAAGATACTTGCGTTTTTTTCCACTTTCATGAGGGTCCTGTGCCTATAACACCTGCAAATGAGAGGGCCAACTATGTGTGATCCAACTTACACACACATTTGACTGAAAGAAAGATTTCCATTTTCTTAGAAATGGAATTCATTTGTAACCTGGGGACTGCCTGTATAGTAGGAAACAACCAGTTGCTAGATATCTGTCTAAAGTTGATAATGGTAAACACTGTTGCGAAAAAAATCTACTCTTTTAAAAGCCTTTGGACATGTTAGTCACTCTAACATAAAGGTCAGCATTTAAGAGGTATATTGTTCATATAGTGGAAAGTTGTCTTCTCTCTAAAAGTTGACTGTTATGCATAGTGGGTCACTTAACTTTCTTCTGTGCTGTAATGTATCTAAGAATCTCGATAAGCTCTTTGCCCATGGAGATACTGGAACTACATTTCAGCTATGGATTGCTTCTTGTTCTTTCACCCTAATGCTATTCCTGCAAACTTCAGCTTCCCATCTTGGTTTGCAGATATTTAAAGACTTTATTTTCAAGCCTAGAACAATAGGATGGGTAAACATGTAATCTTGCCTCTTCCAGGCTTGTCCTTGGATGGGTGCAGGCAGATCCCCTGCAAATAGAGCTCTTTGCAACTATTGTGGTTCTTTTAGGCACTTAGGCGAGGTAAAGGTTTGTATTCAGACCAGAAGCCTTCAGTTGGTGGTACTTGCTTTCATGCTTTAGGAACCTCATATCTGGAAGCCAAGGAAAGTACTTGAAAGCAGAAATTAGTTGCAGAAGCGACTATATGTTGCACTGAAGGGTTCAGCATGTTTTCCCGTAGCTGTCAAAAATGCATTTGTAATAAGGTAATACTTTTGTGTTATTTATAGTGATGTAGCTTCATGGATGGCATTTCTTTGGGGCTAAACTTATGTATTCACAAAACTCAAATTCTGCTGCTTGATCAACAGCCTTGATTTGCTTAACTTTGCAAATATGGACTGGTTGGCAGGAACTAGATTGAAAAGTAGGGAAGAGAGGTGTGTAAGTCTGTAGAATAGAGAACTAAATAGTAGCAAAAGTTCAAACTTATTATTATTTCTGTACTGCCCAATAACTAAAGTTCATCTGATGTCAGTGAATTTTTCACATTCATTTGTTT